GATGACTAATTTCCCTTTTTCTCTTTTTTAAATTTGGGAGTTCAACTGTATTTTTATTTCATTAAAATTTACATTTATCATCAATACATAGCCCTATTATTTCATGAGGGAAATTATCAATTGTTTCTCCCACAAGAGAGATATTTCTTCTCCTCTTACCTACTTCTCCCAACAATTTGAAACCTCTGAGATTCCTTCACTTCCCAACTCTACCCCCATCCACCCACCACAGGAGACCTGGGATCATTTTTACTTCCACCCTCTCCCAACTTTTAGACCATTATAATTTCAATTGCAGTATGTCTCTTCTACTTTAAGAATCCATATTTAGCATGATATTGCACATTCTTACATGGTCTATCATTTCTTATTTTGATTTAACTAGTCTATGGATATTGCAAGTTTTCTCACTGTTTTCATCACTGTTTTCTCTCTTCTGAATCTTTCCTCACTTTGAACATTCTCTGCAGGTTCATTTGGTGTTTTAACCCTCAGCCTGCTTTAGGATTTTCCTCATTTGGTATGTGGATGATGTCCTGGCTGGGTGTAGGACTCCAATTCTACAGTCCTCTTAAGAGTCCATGCCTGTTGTTAATATTTCTTTGCTTTCTACTTTTTGAATGTTCAGTCCAGTACCAGTCTAATTCTTTTTCCTTTATGAGCAACTTGCTGTTTCTTTATGGAAGACTTTAAAATGTTTTCTTTATCTCAGAGCTCAGGAATTGTATTAGCATATGCCTAAGTGATATCTTTTCTCACTAATTCCACCTGAAATTGTACTTTTGATGATATACACTTTCTAAAATGCAGGGAAAGAAGTTTCTTTTTAAAAAAAATAGTTTCTCTCGCTCTCACTCTATTGCCCAGGCTGGAGTGCAGTGACACAATCATGGCTCACTGCAGCCTGACACTCCTAGACTCGAGCAGTCCTCCTACCTCAACCTCCCAAGTATCTGGGACTATAGGCACACACTACTCTGCATGGATAATTTTTTTATTTTTTATGAAAACGAGGTCTCACTATGTTGCTCAGGCTGGTCTTGAACCCCCACCTCGACCTCCCAAAGTGCTGGGATTACAGGCATGAGCCGTCATACCCAGAAAGTTTCTCTTTTATCATTGTTTTCCTCCTCTCATTTGCCTTTTCTTTTTCTGGAACTCCTATTATTATTTACGAGCTAGATGTTCTGGGTCTTTCCTCCACATTCTCATAATTTCTCTCTCTTTATATTTTCCACTTCTATTAAATCTTCAAAGCTACCAATTCTAATATGAACTTTGATCCTTTCCTTTGACTTATCTATTCAATATTTTAATTTAAAAATTATACTTTTTATAATAGTTCCAGGAAGTCTTTCTTAATACTGTATGCATACCTTTTCAAGTACTTACTAGTCTTCTATCTTCTGCTTCCCCTCAAAGTTCTGCTTCATTGATGGACTGTCATGATTGCTTTCCTCATTCTTTCTCTCTCTGGCTATTAGACCTCTTTAGGTGTCCTTTCATTTTCATTTGTTCATTGCGGCCCAGGTCCAACTGCTGGGTGCTTTGAGTGGACTGGTCTCCTGAGCGTGGGAAGGCGCAGTCATCTCAGTCATCATGGATTGGTAATAGGGAAGTTGCCAGTTACCTGTGGAGGCATCGGGAAAGGGCCTTTCTTCTGCATTAGGATAGAAAAAACTCAACCCCACCTCTTTAGGGCCAGAGGACGGGGCACACTGTAAGATGCTGTGATCATTGAGGGACAGCTTTACCAAGGGTCCGCTCTATGCTGGTTCTTGTCCTAGAGCTCGCTTGCTGTGGTCACAAAGCTCTTGTCCAGCCCAGAGCAAGAAAGTACAACAGCTGTGAGCTGTCTTGCTCACACCTACCTGAGTACCAGCCCTAATATCTGCTTGACTCAAGAAAAGAGGGCGTGTTTGACCTGAGTGGGAAGAGGAGAGGGAATGGAGGATAGTTAAGCCATCATCTTCCTAGAATCCCCTGGAGATATAGTGGTTAATGGTGAACATAAAAATGATACATTCCCTGTCCTCATGGAGTTTATGGGCTAGTTGGGAAGATAGACATTAATCAAAATGAGAGAGAGAGAGAGAGAGAGAGAGAGAGAGGGAGGGAGAAAACAAAAGAGAGGGAGGGAGGGAGGAAAGGAAAGAAGGAAGGAATGAAGAAAAAGGAAAAGAAACACATAATTTTGAAACCACATATGTGACAAGTACTGTGAAGAAAACGTAAATAGAAATGCGAAGAATGCATGAAAGGGGCTGACTGGGTCGGAGTCTCAGAGAAGTGTGTGAGGAAGCCATGACTGAGTTGAGATCCCCCAGTAAAGTAGGGGTTAACTGTGCAAAGAGAGATGGAAAGAGAGCCCCAGGCAGATGGCGCGTATTCAAAGGCACTGGGAGTAAGCATGGCACATTCGACACATTTGAGGAACAGAGGAAGGCCGGTGTGGCTGGAGCGGAAAGAGTAATGTGTGCAAAGAAGCCAGAGAGGAAGGTAATGACTGGCCAGACTTTGGGGGCTTTGTGAGGTATCTTAGGGAGTATTTCCTTTTTCCTTAAAGCAGGTAGCCACTGGAGTGTCACACTCCAGAAGATCGTGAGAATTCAGTGCAGAGAACAAATTTAAAAGGGCCATGGGTTTCTGGGAAACCATTGAGGAGAGGCTATTGTAATAGTCCAAGAGAGAGATGATGATAATAAGACCAATTTAAAGAGAAGGACACATGACACACCTGTAATCCTAGCACTCCGGGAGGCCAAGGTGGGAGGATCACTTTAGCTCAGGAGTTGGAGACCAGCCTGAGCAAGAGCAAGGCCCGGCTCTACTGAAAATAGAAAAATTTAGCTGAGGGTGGTGGTTGCACACCTGTAGTCCAAGCTCTTCAGAAGGCTGAGACAGGAGGATTGCTCGAGCCAGGAGTTTGAGGTTGCAGCAAGCAAGGACGACGCCACTGCACTCTAGCTGGGGTGCCAGAGCGAGAATCTGTCTCAAAATAAAAAAAGAGGACGACAATTTTAGGTAGTAAAATGGAGGAGAGGTGGTGAGAGATTGGAAGGTGTTAAAAATATCCTCGGAATATTTGGATTTCACCATTGCTGCATGAAATGAGAACACTGCAAGAAGACCAAGTTGGAAATCCCCAGTTCAGTTGTTCGTGTCAAGGTTGGTTTCAGTACTCAAGAAGAGAAGTCAATGGGCAGTAGAACTTTCGGGCAAGTCTAGACAGGAGATGTAAACATGTGAGCCATCTGATACAGGCAGAAATGGAGACTCTTAGGCATGAGTGAGCACACCTTGGGAGAGACTAAGGAAAGAAGAAAGATTGTTAATCTTGTATGTTGCTAGTTTCTATCTAAATTAGACTGTCTTTTCTG